CATGTTTATTCTGGGTTATTTTATGGTCTCTTGTTGTGAATGGGTTTTGCATCCTCCCCTTAGCTTTCAACTTTTCTTTTTAATCCTCCCCCGAGGAGGGAGGTTGAGGGAGAGAGAAAGGGAAACATTGATCGGCTGCCTCCCACACGCACCCTGACCGGGAATCGAACCCGTGACCTTTCTGTGTACGGGACAGGACGACACTCCAACCTAGCCACCCCAGCCAGGGCTCTAATCGACTTGATGATTAGATGGCTTTGCATCCTCTGCAACTAATAGTAACTCTGCCCCCTCCACTCCTCATCCTTAAATTGTTATATTTGCTACAATTGCAAATACAATGCTGAATAATACCACTGACTCGGAACATCTCTAGAGGTTCAGGCATTTGCCGTGATAATCTAACCTCATTCTTCAGGACAGTAGCCACAAGCCACACGGGGCTGTTGGGTACCTGAAGTGTAGCTAGTGAGACTACGGAACTCAATATTTCATATTATGTAATTGTATTTATTTTAAATGTAAAAATTGATGCTTGATTTAGTAAATGGAAATCCCAAGTATGTCTAAAACAGCTTGAGTATGTGAATCTACGTTTTCATCGGTACATTTTAGGAACTCCAAGTTCTGATTGCCTATGAAATTGAGCATCCAAATTGAGATGCGCTATGGGTATAAAATACACACTGGATGTTGAAGCCTTTGTATGAAGACATAATGTGAAATATCTTATTAATATTTTTCTGATTACATGGTGCAATGACAATACTTTGGACGCACGAGGCTAAGTAACACATTCAAGTTAATCTCCCCTGTCGGTAGTTCTTCACGTCAGAAATGAGAGCTGTGGAATAACACCTCCCGGAGGGGCTCTGATAGCTACCCAGACGGGGTGCGGAGGAACCCCCTCTGGGAAATGGCATCCTGGACCCTCCCGTGGACCCCAGGCGGACACGCGCCCCCCGCGCCCCCCACGGGTCCGGGAGGAGGTATGAGAAAGGGAACTAAGGCATTGGGCTTTGACTCTGCGCCTTATTATGATTGGACTGCCTTAGAAAAGTTTACAAGGGATACTCTGTCTTAGCATTTGAAAGACTTCAGCTCATGTATTCTTCCAAACAATCCCCCGGAGTTCTTACCATCACCCCCATCCTGCACACAAGGAAACTGAGGCCTAGGGTTCAGTGATCTGCCCAAGTCACAGGGCTGCTGAGGGCAGAGCAGGGAGGAGTCCAGGTTGCCTGACTCACGAGGGTCACAGCATTGGGCCCAGGCCTCTGAGGTCCGATGGAGGTTATGGATGCATGAACACCCACAGGACGCATAGTTTTGCACAGAATTTCAGGTTAAAATCTCTCTGGTCTGGTCACCCCATCCCCCACCATTCCAGGGAAAGTACAGATGAAGTCCTGGGAAATACAGATCGCCCCTCCCCCTTCAGGGAACCCCTCCAGGGCTGGGAATGGGCCACTCTCCCACTGTTCCTTCACCCTTGTCCCTGCATCCACCTCCCTCCGCACCCCAGAGCCCTGGCTCCGAAGGGAAGGGAAGGGAAGGGAAAGGAGTGAGCCCTGACCTGGGAGTGACAGGAAGCGACAAATCAGAAGTCAAGCCAATGAAGAGCCAGTGACTCAAGGACATTTGCAACTTCGCTTGTTTACAGGGCTCCTCCTGGAGAGGCATTCCCCCCGCCTCCCCCCCCCTCCCCCAACCACCACCAAGCCCGGCCCAACACAGGCCACCAGAGGGACAGCCAGGAAAGGGGAAGGCGTACTGCCTCCCGGTCTCCTCGCAGCTGGCTCTCCCTCCTCTGGGAGTGGCCCGGCTCCCCCTCCTGCCCAGGGCCTCAGGAGGAAGCGGCTGGGCTTGAAATCGGATCTGCCAGGCCCCGGTCGGTTTCACTTCGCTTCTCAGGGCTCGGCTGAGGAGTCGGGACTAAAAGGACACTCTGAGGGCTCCAGGGGGAGCTGGGCGACCTGCACTCTCTCCAGAGAGGGCAGCAAATCTGGCAGGTCTTGGTCCAGCCGGAGCATAT